AACTGGATAAAGATACGACTGTTTGTCTTCACTGGGAAAAAATCTTACGACAATAAAATCAGCAGACCTGGCCCCTAGACCATAAACTGACTTAATTCAAAATTTCGATTTCCAATATAATTAACTTTTGAAATAATTTTGATAATGAAACAAAATTTTTATCATATATTTGAATTTAAATGTTTTATAAAATTGCAAATTTTTAAGCAAATACATTAAATAAAACTCAAGATATTAAAAATCAAAATTCTGACTTAAGTCTATTCTCAGTTTATGGTCTTGGGTCCTGGGGGTCGTAACATATAGGGTACTTAAGTCTATGACCATGCTTACGAAGGACTTAAGTACAATCTTAGACTTAAGACTGTAACTAGAAGCGTCACCTTATTTCCAATAAACCATATCACATACAATATACATGACATTTGCTTCTTAACTCCCGTTATCTGGCTACAAACCGCACTGTCTTTAAATTCTCGTAAATTTTTGTTTTGGTACAGTTGTGACGCCATCGTTCAAAGTATTGAACGTCTGTGAGAAAAATAACATTATTGTGTGAAAAAAGAGAATGCTTCCATACTGATTGTAACTTAAGATAGTCCGATCCCCAGGTTCTGAAAATCAGCAGTTAAGTGATTGAAAATGCTCACAAAAATGTCTTTGAATTCACAAAATAATGGGTATTTACCCATGGTATTTCTCCAAAGTTCATCATTAAAGTTAATCATACTATAGAGGGAAAATTTTCAAATTTCATATCTATTTTCAGGAAATACGAATAAAAACACCAGTTATGCATTTTTAAAATGAAAATTGATCAACAAACATATTTTGTGATAAAAAAAAATATAGGTATCCAGGCATTCAGAGAAAATTGAAGGTTTTTCATACTATTAAGGTATTTTAGTTCTTCTATTTACTTATTATATAATACATAGTGTAAAAACATGCTGTATCATTGCAAGACATCATAGATCACTTGTAATTTCATCTCATGCTAGTTAGAGTTGATATCTAAGGCTAGATTACAGGAAATTCGAATTCTCTAGAATTGTATTTATTTTTGTTCTTTTATAGGGTAAAAATGTAAACTTTTTACAATACTGTTTCTAAGACTTCAAAGAACCTTGAATCATATGGAGATGCCTAAATCCTTTTGACTAAGAGAGATATCTTTATAACCTAGAGAGATATCTCTTTAAACAAAGTGGAAGTGACATCTCTCAAAGTAAAAGAGATATCTCTCTAAATGAAAGAGATGTCTCTCTCTAAGTGTCAGAGATATTTCTCTAATTGAAAGAGATATCTCTTTCTTAAAGAGATATCTCTTAAAGTTAAGAAATATCTCTTTATGTTGAGAGATATCGCTGTTTTTTAAGAGATATCTCTCTAAAATAATAGATATATCTGTAAATTTAAGAATTTTTTTTATTTTTTCGAATAAATAGCAAAAGGGCTTGCTATACTTCTGTGCAAGTGTGAGAAAAGAACTGCAATCATAGCAAAAGGATTTGCATTTATAAACATATGAGCGCAAGTAGTGAGTGCAGGTTCATAAAGAAAAGAAACAAAAAAAAGAGAATAGGCAAATTTATTAATATAATACTATATTCTTTTGCTATCAAATGTTTTTTTTCTTCAAGAAACGTTACTTCAATATTTTAAGATTTCACAAAAAGTTCTTTTACAGTCAAATTATTATAGTAAATTAAATATCTCACCATGTACGCGTCATATCGCTTACAAGTACCAAACAGCAGTGCAGATTGAAAAAAAAAATCATGAGGTCAAAGTTTTTAAAATTATCTATTCTCAATTATTTTTGAAATATAATTACCAACCAATATTATAGCGATTTGATGTATACAAAGCGGCTATTCATTCACGCGGTACATGAAAGTGTTTGACGCGTGACCAGGTAATTGTCTCCAAAACATGCAAACTCCGATTATCGGGTAGCACAGGTACATGAAGCTGGCCTGTCAATCAAATTGGTAGCTTGTTTTTCTAATGATTGACAGGCGGTATATTATTGATCTCGAGTTGGCTAGAATTTGGGGGGGGGGGGGCGTTAACGTAAAATTGGGTGTTTAAGCCCAACCCATTAAACTAGAGTTTTATACTCAGAAACTTCTTTCTTCTACATGTTCACCACTCACTTTGGTGTTAGACGAGTTATCGTTCGAAAACCATTTTGGCAAAGAACACTGTAAAGACAGAATATAGAGGCCCGTTCTGTCCCCTTTTTGGCGAAAGACCATATTTCATAAACAGACAAAATATATAATTTTGCACGTCTACAAATGAGCATTGACATTGAATGATAAGCAGTCACAAAGGTGACGAGGAGGTTATGGCTTTGTTCCTTTTCAAATTTTCTTCATCAACTTAAAGATAAAAAGAGTAAGTACACAATAAGCACACAGATTACAACCTACATGTATCCAATCTACCTCTTTATTTATCTATATATGATCTGATACATCTAATGCTCTGTGTTACCAAAAGAAAACTTCTAAAATTTAGTATAGCTCTATAAAAAGGAAGAAATTTAGGAAATTCTTATATTAAGATATTCTATGAACAAATATTATATCGTTCTTTCTTATGATCATTTGTTGTTGATCTTTTTTTTTATGTAATTAAATCAATACATTTTTTTACCTCAAAGATTATTCAATATTAAGATTTCAGGAACAATTTCTTTATAGTTAGCCTAAATTGTTTGTTATAAACAAAATAAATTATTGCATTTGTTGCATTGTTTATGCAGTATGTCTTTACCAAAACTTCATAGAATACCCTGTTAGTAAATGAAAGATCTTCAATGTTTACAACAGAGCTTTTGAGAAGGATCTGACTAAGAAGATATGGGAAATAGCCAAAAAGGAAAGACAATGTAACAACGGAGAGTGTCACAGTGGTTTTAGTCAGCTGAGGTTTCCTCCGAAGTTTAGAGTGGCTGTTCCACCGAATCTCATTCAGCATCACGTGACCACAATCTCGAGAGATTGAAAATAGGGAAGAAAACCTACTTTCATGTAGGCTGCTTTTTATGCTGATCCCTTGCGAAGAAACTGATTGTCCACTTTCAACTCGAGGCAAATTGCTACTTTTTAGCTGAAATTGAAATCGCTTCCATTGCGAAATACGTTTAAACACTTTTGTGTATAAATAAAATAGGATGCACAATGATGTCACAAAGACTGTTAAAAGAAAACCGTAATATAGACCCACAAACATAGAAGATTTAACATCATCAGCTACTGAACATGTGCTACCCACAAGTCTATGTATGCATTTGTTTCTCACTGTCGATTTACCATAAATGCACGCTGTTGTCCATGAAATTACCGTTGCAGTGGTGATGAGAACAAGCACTCTAATTTTTGGATTCGCATTAGAGTACGGTAGTGGGGAACATATTTTCTGATATCTGTCTAAAGCAATGCATATCAACATTAGTCCCTCACAGGCGTATGTTAACATGGAAACGCTTCGAAAGATTCTGCAAGCAATGTCATTGTCGAACATCACTGGATTTCCTATTACATATATCTCAAACGGGATGCTTAAAAAACAGCATGCTAGATCAAAGATAGCCAGCCAAAGAATGTAAGTGTTAGCCGTTGTTCGTTTAAATTTTGTACCGTAGGCATAAACTACAAAACCATTTCCGATTATACCGACAAACATGATTATCCCTGAAAATATCATGGCAGCAATATTATGTGAAACTTCCTTATAGTTCCACATCCACAATAACAACTGCATGTCAAATTTTAACGATACATTAACCAAGTGTGTACATTCCATCATCGGTACTTTTACACTGACATTTTCTGTTCATTATATGCATGATTTGGTTATTTCTTCGAAGAAATGTTACCCATAAATGAACTACTTCTTGTATGTTTTTCTATTAATGTAGCTAGGTTGGTAGAGCAAGTTATTAGCCGAGATTTGTTATTTGTCCTTCGTGCATCTTTAGCATATGGTCTTGATAAGGGATTTGAATTATAGTTTTGTAATATCAAAAAATTGTGCAAATATTAAATTTGGCTGATATAGGATGACGTCAACCCACTTCATTTTATAGGTGAACATCTGCAGTACACTTGCAAAGGAAATAAACATGCGTTTGATAACCCCTATTCAAGAAAACAACGAACACTGGAGGTTCGTAGATCGGTCAGGTAGTCGAACACTGGAAGTTTTTTAGATCGGTCAGGAAGTATTGCTGTTCTCAGTGATCATAAAAAAAATGTCGATCTCAAGGAACTTCAAAATATTACTAGTACAATCAAATGAATTGCCTATGTACTCGATAAACAATTAGTTAGGGTATTTTATATGATGTAAAACACATATAGTAAGGTAAATATCGGGACATTGCAGGTAATCAAGTAAACGTGTTAACAGTATGATGGTAATTTGCTGAAACCGTGGGTTATGTTTACAAAATCATGTAAAGAAGAGTGTTTTACTGAAACTTAACACAAAAATCGAAGGTAAAAAAAGATTTCTACAGCCAGAAGTTTCTCTGACTTTATTCAAATATGGATATCAAGAAACGACAATCTAAAAAAAAAAATCAACACACCTGAATTCTTTGGCAGTGCCCAAAACAGTTCAAAAGACGATTACTGAAAAGACACAATCATAGAGTACATATAGCTATGTTTTCTACAGTATACTATATATCGGCAAAATTATTGGACCCCCTACCCCCGCATTGTATTAAACTGCAAGATGATAATTATAACATTTTAATGCTGCATAACATTGTTTGTTGAAAATACCTTTAAAAATGTTTCCTATATAAATCTAAACTAAAAAATCGAACATTTCCAATGTTTTACTTAGCGGTCCAAAAAAAAAAATCGATGTTGAACCACTGAGTGAGATATTCGACCTGTCGAAAAGATATTGGAACCACTATGACGGTTTAATTTTACCTCGCACTGTAGGCGAGATCAGCTATATCAATCATCGCAAATATGGAAGCCAGCGCAAGATATGTCAAAATAAAAAAAAAGGTATTAAAAAAAACCAAAAACATTTATTGACTGTGTTCTCGGGCGAAATGCGTTTTGTCGACTCCTCAAACGTATCTATTTGCTTTCAGTCTAACAACAAACAGTTTGGTTCTTGGATCCGACAAAATGCATGTTGCCCTCGAACACGGTCAGTAAATGTATATTGTATCACATTTATTTCAATAGACTTAACATTAATCTTATGACAAAAGCATAAAAATACACTTATAAGAAAACATTGATGTAACTTTTCATTGCTATACAGCAGACCTATAATTCCGATGGATTCTAATTGTGCTCCTTGATTAGCCGACCGGTTTTTATATTCCTATGAAGCAGAATTTATTCAAAAATTTCTACGTAAAGAGAAGAAAAAACTTGTTTTGGCCTTCAACTCGACATTAAGATATGCCGACAACGTATTATCAATTAACAATTGTTACTTCCATTCATATGTCGACTCGATATATCCCAGTGAACTTGAAATAAAAGACACCATAGACTTCGCCACATCTGTTTCATATTTAGATGTTTCACTGGCCAACTAACAAGTAAATTGTATGACAAACGAGATGCATGTCTTCAGTTTTTCTATAGTCAGCTTTCCTTATTTATGTAGTAATACCCCGCTGTCATCTGCATATGGTGTTTACATCTCCCAACTGATTTGATACTGAAGAGCATGCTCCGAGTAAGATCATTTTTTGAACCGACGGAGGCTACTGACAGATAAGTTGATGTTACAGGGATTTTGAGCTTGTAAGCAAATTAAACCTTTCACTGGGTAGTAATTTGCCTGACGTGTTTCATACTAATTGTAAGTCCTTTGTTTTTATACTGAATTTGACTACGGAATGTCCCGTCTACCTGATCAATACAAAGGATTCACCGGTCAACAGGAGATGCTCACTTCTTCGAGGCACCTGATCTCACCTCTGGAATTTCAGGGGGTCCGTGTTTTATGCCCTGTTCACAGATTTGTATTGTTATGGATTTTTTTTTTTTTTTTTTTTTAGATATGTCACTGTTCGTTATCTTCTCCTTTCTCCTTAGTAGTTAACAATGCTTTTTAGACAGAGACTGCAATACAGCATATACGCTAATACTATCTGTTTATATTTTTTTACGTGCACGAATGAGAACCCTGTCTCCAACACTTCACTATCAATTACACAATGGCATGAATAAGACAAGAAAAAAAAAATAAATAAGAGTTTGGAGACTCAAAACCTTGCCGTGACAAATATTCCAGGTACGAGTGAATTTACCCACAAGTACAGTTACTCATCTTGGAGGCGAGTCGACCTTACTGAGTGTGTACTATCTGGTTTTAACCGACAAACTACACAACCCCTTCTCATAACAAAGCTGACTCCGAGTCTTTTTTTTCACTGGAATTTGATGTTTCATCCGATGGGACTCAAAGACACACCGTCCTTTAGGCATTATACATTTATGATAGGAGATTTCGAGTTTATCTTTGTTTATCAATTTTCACAACTGACGGACAAACTGATTTGAAGATAACGAACAGTGATTATTCTCAAAAGTCCATATACATATTACAATATAAATTGTAAGCAGCGCCAACGAACTTACAGGTACACATCACATCTTTATCGAGATTTAGAAAAGATAACAATTCTAAAATCTTTTATAACTATTCCCTAATGCCTTTATAAATATATAGCAGTTCGTTGAAAAAAGATTAATAAAATATCTAAGAGAATATTTACAAATTGATAGATTTAATATTATTAATTTGAGGTTCTCTCCAAAGCTCCTTGCTTAGTTTGATAACGGGGCTGGTGGCAGTCGGAGACAATAACATGCCCAGGAAGATATTTTAATCTATATCAGTGATAAAGCTTGGCCAAACAAGGCTTACTAAAAACCATGTCTTCATACCTTCGGACTCTTGACATGGGAAACTCCTACATAAAAAGACAATTCCTATCTATTTTGTACATGCAACAGGGACTTGGTAAACAATTCATGGCGAATTCGAATTGATATTTTTAAATTTAGATTCTACTTAATCCTGACAACACTTGACTTGGGTGTAATGCAAACCTCCATCAATTTCCTGCCGAGTTGAACAATTTATTACCTGTGATATCAATGACGTGTTCATCTGATTTTGTTAGAAGTCCCAGGAATTCGAGAGATCGCCAAACCACGATGTTTTTGGTTTATTTGACAATTTTGTTTATTTCCTTTGGTCAAATCAAGGTGGGTATACTAGTTGATTGGCAAATAATTTTTTTTCTTATGGTCAAGATCGAGTAAATGAAATGAGCCTACAGATTTCTCAAATTTGAGAATTTAATTCCTTTAATGATGCTTTATAAAAATTATAGCTTGGTTGAATAAGGTGTATCGGGGCATAGCTTGTAAGTAAACAATACGAAAAATCATACTTTAAACTGTCGTTTTCATTGAACAATTAAGAAAATGCGACATGAATATTGGAGGATTTTTCTTCCATATCAGACGAATGAAAGGCATCCGTATTTCCCACAGTCTCTTAAGAAACGGTAATTTGTATGTTCTTAGCCACTTCTTAAAAATAATTTCAAATTGAATGCCGTGAAAATACTTTATTTTCTAGGGCCTATATTATTCTATTAGAGCAGTAAAGTACGGGAAAAAAAATTAAATTGATTATAAGGTCATAATAGATCTAGCACCAAAAAGACAGTCTCAGGTCATTTACTATATCTTGACCTTAACCGTGTTTCTTTTCTTTTTCAAATATTTCATTCTCACTCTCAATTATTCTTAACATTCATGACAATAACAATAAGGTAGTTTAAAATTTAATATGTTTGTTATTCTTGTTTGATGAAATATATTTTATCTCCAGCATCCCATTGTCATCACTATATTATGAGGAGATAAATATAATTACAGGCTGTGTCACAGTGTCAACCAACTGTACCATCATGCAACTGCACTTTTTCAGAGGAAAGCGTGTTTGACACGAGATCAGAAATCATGGCGGCATCCGTTGGAGCAATGTCTCCACTTCTTCTAACCGGAATCGGCTTTGCAATTTGGAAATACATCCAAAGCAAAGCTCAAGACATTCCATTTGAGCGAGCACCATCAGACATCTCTGATGATTATTACGAACAGAAGCGCGGATCAAAGGGAAGGGTTAGTCCGTTAGGGTCAGATTATAACTACGCCCGCCGTGGATCAACACCACTTTCTATTTCGGACACAGACAACGAATACTACATCTCCGAAACTCCCACCTCGGAAACACCATTGTCAGACATGAATCAAGACGAAAAATGGAGGGTACCCACCAAAGCGCAACCGCCATCAAACAATGGCCGCGTAGTTGTCGCTCCAGCCAAATCTGACTCTCTCAATGGATGGATGTTCTGAAAAAAAATTGTGACGTGTTGTTGGAATTCTTTCTTGAAGCATAATGAAAATTAATACAAATAATTATATGCTTTGTTTCCAAGTATTTAAATGAAATCAAAACATGTGAAAGTTAAATATGTGACTCTTCATTTTGACAACCCCCTTAAAGTCATATATGGCGTATTTTTGATAAGTTTTGACTAGCTAAAATTAAAAATGTCTTCCTATTTGTTTTATTTCTTTATATAAAGATAGGAATTCCTGTAAATTACACAATTTGAATCAATTGCGTTTCATAGATATTAGAAATTTAAAAAAATGATTTATTAACCGACTCCGCATTTAAATATCAGATACAGTTTTAAGTCAATTTAACTATAGAAACGTGGGGTTATTCAAGTTCAAAATCTGTGAAAATTTTAATTTGAACGTAAATAACAAATATCTTGTTCATTTACATTCAATCTCGTATTTTGGTTTTTAGCTCAGATACGCCATATATAGCTTGAAATTCAATCGTAAAATACGTATTAGAGATTTAAAAATAACATAAACCATAAATTCTATGTCAGTATTTCGTTTTCTTGCCATATGTTATATTGTGTTATATTTTGGTTTTAGTGTTTTCATAATTATATGTATTTAATAAATTTTATTTGTTCACAGATATGGCACCATAATTTGGAATCTTAATTGAATTGATTTACGAGCTTTCATGGCTTGATAGAATTAGATATTAAAGAGTCATAAAAACCCCTAGAATCTGGTATGATTAAAATAAATCATTTTTTCCCACTAATCCACTTCAGCAAATATTACGTTTTCTTACAAAACTGATTAAAGAAATTCGAGTAAGTATAACACCTTGACTCTTGATTGTTATTTATCATCGATTTACAATATTTTGTTGCATGTGAAATATATATATATATATTTCTTGAATGTGAAAGTAGGAATGAAAGAAGAATCAAATTGTTGTACTAATTTATTTCTTATTTTCTTTTTAAATTAATATAGAATAAATTAACACAGTAAATGAACATTTGTTGCTTATTCAATTTAGAAAAATGAAATAAGTTATGTAACAATAAACAACGAAAAAATAAATAAAACATGTCAATGGATAAAAAATAAATCAATTTTTCGTATTTATGCCTGATTGTGAAATATATCTGTCCTCTCAAGATATTGGTTATCGATATCTCAGAATAAAATTACTTAAAGTGAGTGATAAGGTCAGGAGATTCACGTGTATTTCGATAAAGAAAAAATACTTGGCTTTCCTAAATATTTCTTCTAGACCAAATTAGTGACATTCAATTTAAAAGCTCAGATTTCACAAGATCAAGTGAATTAAAATGCAATTTTGCGAGTTCGGTGATTGAAGAAGGTATATAAAAACATTTCAAACATTAAATAAGCAGATGGATTATAATGACATATTTCTTTCTTAATCATCGGAAATGTAATTTTTTTTAACACACTTCAACCCTATTTTTAATTTAAAGTACATTGTCAAAACACGCAAAATTACGACCGGTACCTAATTACTTCAACAATTGCTTCAATCGTGTGATATCTTTAAACTATAGTTCTGATATCCAGCGTATAACATGATTGATTGAGATCAGTTACATTTTTCAATAAAAATTTCTATACTACTACAAAATAATTATGGACTCGATTTTTTTTTATTTTGCTTCAATACTAGTAAATAGGGAGAGAATTGTAATTTGTTTTGAATATATAAACATTGTACCTGACTGAAATTTTCAAATCGGAACCGACATCATATTACAAGTTTAACTTTGTTCTTCAAAAAATCTTAAAGAGTCAGCCAGTGGATTTTTTCTTTATGATAATGCTTTAAAGCATTAGCAAACTGTAATTTTGTTGGAGAACAATGTTTTCAGCATTTATTTGTGTAGTGGATTTGCCCACTTTGACAGTTACGCCTTGATAGTTATTCCGCATGGGAGTGGAAGTTTGGGGTGCAAATGATCCAATGCATTTAGATTCTTGGAATTTGTTGGCAACTTAAGCTCAAAAACACGCAAAGTATTTATGTTAACATTCACATAGCATAATTCCATAAAAGGTCAGTAGCCGATCTTATAGATGGATCTATTTTGTGAAGAGAGATTTCCCCAATTTATTTATTCAATTTTCAAAACTTTACATCCCATTTACACTACCTTTGCTTTAGTACGTAACATCCTAAGAAGACCTGTGGTCAATTTTAAGACTTTCTATTCAGTTTAATTTTGATGACCTCTTTCTCTACTTTATCATAAGTCCCTAAAGCCTGGAACCCCCTCCCCTCCCCCGGAACCACCCGCTAATTTTGTATTACTTATATTTGTAAAAAAAAAAAATAAAAAAAAAAAAAAAAAAGGTATGAATTCTAGTACATGAAATAAAGCGAAATCTAAAAAATGTTCGATAAAGTCTCTTTCTATACTCCTCATCAACATATAAACAGTAGTGAAGAAGAATTTCATCAGTACTGTGAAACAATATATTTTAGACATGGTGTTTATCAATTGTTGATACTTAAAAACTCTAAAGAACTTTTAGAATAATTGAAATCGCAAAATTTAGCCAAAGCTATAGCATCAAAGCATATGACTTTTCAGCACTTTATATAATCATTCCTCACGAAAACTTAAAAACCGGGCTATTTGACGTCATCATGTTAGACAACTGCTTCTTTAATAAGAATGAGTCGCAAATTACTTAATTTGTCATTGGTCATCTACAAACTTACTTTACTAAAAAATAGGAAAGGTACCCGTAAGTTGATATTAAAAAGATGCTTGAGTTCTTCATAGACAATATCTTAGTCTTTAGAGACCAGGTCTTCCAACAATCTGTTAGAATTCCTTTGGATATTAATTGTGCTCCGTTATTAGCAAATCTGTGCTCTTAATTTTTCATGAAGCAGAATTTATTTTAAAAAACGTCTATATGAAAAAAAGTTTTTTGCTGCAGCCTTCAATTCGACATTTAGGTATATCGATGAAGTTTTATAAATTATTAATAATGATCATTATCATTCATACATTAATTCGATGTATTCCATTTAACTTAAAATAAAAGACGCCATATCATATGCATGCAGATTGTATGTTTCAATGTCTCCTATTTTGGTTTGTAGCCAGGAAACATTTGAAAAATATCTAACAGAATTAAGTCTTTAGGATTATCACAGGAAACTTAACGACCCATTACCGGTTTTGTTTATCTTGTATTTAATATTAAAGCCTGTCCGAAATAGTCCAGAGAACGCAAGTAGACTTTTCTGTATGAAGATGTCACAAATTGATTTTTCCGTACAGGCCTAGCTTTCTGGGGGACCTTGCTGTTATTAGTAACATGTATCTGACAATATATATCCAGGATTAGAAAATTGATCTAAGGCACAACGTCGTTAGGACAGGAGAATTCGTAATGAACATTAATTATTTTGTATATACTTTAACAATTGAACTGGCAGTTGGGTGCTATGATCAGATAAATTAATATACATGGAAATGTTTATCTGACCCAACTGATGAAAGATTGGGTACTTTATCATGATGTTATGCAATTCAAAGTGAGCTTAAGTAACTAAATTAAATTTAACGGATTTCGTTATTTATAATCTACCTTTGTGTCCATGACTTAAAGCTGTATTTGTAAATTTCTGTTGATGTATTTTAAGAAAAAAATTCGGATTGAATTATCATTAAATGCTCTGTGGAATCTATGCATGGGTTGGTAAAAGACACAGTTGCTTTACGTAGTGTTTAGTAAAGTTTTAATTTCAAAAGAAAGAAAAGATAGACAGCTTCAACGTCATTGAGCTTAAGACATGGGGAGAATTTTCATTGAAATTGATTGTTCATATCCCTAAATCACTGTGTCAATAGCTTAAAGTTGAAAATCAACAAGCGATTGTTTTAAATCCATCTAATCTAAAGAATGTATCTAGCTACTCCAACAAAGCCAAATAATTTCTTAATAAAATTGTAACTAATTGAAAATAAGTGAAGTACATTTATAGAGTTTTGTACCTTAGAATGTGTAAAGAAATTGGCTGCATGCCAAAGTATCTAAAATAACTTCTAATCCTGAGCTGGCCATAGTATTGGAAGATCGAGTTCAGGATGACATCACACTTGTATTTTCTGTGTTGTATTTTATTTACTGGATGTTATCGAAATGTCGAGGCAGTAAGTAGCAACATCTTGAAAAATTATTTAATAACATTTAATGAACATTTTTATAGATATTTTAATAAGAATTTTCTCCTTTAAAATAATTTTTTTGTCAATCTATGCTGTTTATAGATTAAACATAAATTCAGAGATAGTATATAGTGTCTTTTGTGCCAAATTTCAATCAAATAATGAAATAATATTTGATTTGAATAAAATATAGAAATAAGACACAAACGCAACAAGATATATGCTTCCAAATTGAAAACAACTCTCATTTTCATTGTGCAAACTACACCTTTGACTTGTTCTTTTAAAATTAGGAGGAACACGCTGCAATTCCTGATTTTTTAATTTGAAAATCTTAGCTTAGCCATGTTGATTGTTTGATTAAAGCTATATATGGCGTATCTAAAAAATCAAAATTCGAGATTGAGTGTAGATATATATGATATATGTTATTTATGTTCAATTAAAATTTTCACGATTTTGAACTTAGATTACCTCAAGTTTCTATATGTGGTTAAATTTACTTTAAACGTTGTCTGTTGTTTAAATGTGGAGTCAGTAAATAAATCGGTTATTATTTTAAATTTTTAATATCTTTGAAATGCGATGGATTTAGATTGTGTAATTTGTAGGAAAGTCCTCTTTATATAAAGTAACAAAACAAATAGAAAGATCTTTTTAATTTTGGTTATATATACTAGTATCACTTTAAGTGTTACTGAATAAGACAATTCTAGACATCACAGGGAAAATCAAATGTTTGTGCAAAATTATACCAGAGTATTGCAATGTCTTCTGAGTCAAAGGATTATTCAAAGCGTAAATACGTGCAATAGTTCATGAAAAATAGTCCAAACAATCTTGTGTTTTTTATTTAGTCCTGTGAGGTACCTATGTGCACATGTTTAATAGACGGAGAGCAAGTTCAAGTGGAACAAAATCTTGAAGGGAACGAAGCATTGGCGGGAACTGTTGGTGCATTAAGTTCACTGCTTGTAACCGGAAGTGCACTTGGGTTGTATGTTCTTTACCAGAAACGATGTAAGTCGCCCGAGATTTCGAGGCAGGTGTCAGATTTATCCAATAATAAGCCACCTCCTTCAGGACGAAAAGGAATGTCCCCACCACCGCCCTATCGACCGGATACCTCTGCTTCCAGAAACATATACCGGGCTGGAATGAAAGACCCCACAAGTCATCGCGTGGGGAACCGCAGCGCCACACAGCACCTGTACGATAGGATGTCAGACTGGAATTAGACATTGCATCGATTCTTTCAAAGTCGTTGATAAGAAAATAAAATATGATTTGGTATTGATGTTTCATTATTGTAAATTTTTGAATTTTCTTGGCAGTATCTGTTGAACATTTTCTTGGTTCATAATCTATATGGATGTGAATTGAAGTCTGTAAAATGGCCTGCATTCAATTAGAATTTTAAGATAAATTTTATTTTATTTTATTTTTTTTTTTTTTTTTTTTTTTTTTTTTTTTTTGCTTAACTTATGAAATATGAGCTATATAGAACAGAACATGGGGAATAAGGTAGAATTAAGAAACGCTCCACTTCTTTGATAGTAACAGTAAAATGTAATTTTTAAACAAAGTTCCAAGATACATATCTCATTTTGATTAGTTGTTTTCGAAAAATCAGAATGTTTTTTACCACTACACAAGATGAATATATGATGAAATACGTTTTAAAATTTTGTCACCCAATTCTTTGAAAATAAAAAATGAAAGAGGTACATGTATTAAAAAGAATACTTATTGCGAATACCTTTATGCATCAGATCTTTTATGTTTTAAAAAATCATAAATGTATTTACAATATTTGCAATCGCGCAAAAGTCTAATCGCAGAATCTGGCACCTTGGCAAAATAACCCAATCCAAATTTTAATTCATTCAAATGTTTCAATACATTATCATTTACTAAAGATACTACATCTATACTATTACAGCTGAAATGAAAAAAATATTTCAGCGTTTACAACCAGGCTAGTATGGTGTAGATTTATCCCTATTTGAATGATATTTATCATTATCCAGTAATCATTTAAAGCGACAAAGCATTAATATGTGTTTATGAATGAAATATTTATGAGTTAGACATATTTATATGTATATTTATCAAGCATACACAACCTTGAGAAAACAACTAAGAATACGTAAAAATTGCATAATATGAAGAAATGTTAATACAAAATTCCTCTATTCATTATTATGAATTACCATCTTTTCGTGATTCAAACTGTAAATATCATATCAAAGGACAAAGATTCCAAGTTAAGATCCGCATGAAATTGTATTTGAAATGAATTTGACAAGAATCCGGTTGATCTTTGACCAAAAAACCCAAGAGGTTCATCTGCATGTCAAAGCAAATATAGTGGATGATTATTTCGCAAAGATTGTACACCTAAAAAATTATGTGTTTGGGTTATGAATGTGAAAAAATCATCTTCCTATAGAGATATACTTCTGTATATAGTTTACGCAGCATTTACAATCCATTTTGCGGGTATCACGGAACATACTAGTAACCTTCACACGTATGGTTCTGCCACTGATTCGTGTAATAAGCAACATGCGTAAGTTAGATGTTCACATTTGCAGCTGAATCATTTGATGCGGGCATAATTTACAATTATCTTTTAACCAGAAAATAAAAAAGAGTGTTATGTATTTATCATGACCAACTTGAGTTTCAAGTTATATGATGATCGAACAAAGGTTTTTTCAAAGATATTCAGATAACATTGGATAGCTTAATCAAAACGTCAATATAAAATCAGGTGATCTTTGAATTTGTTCTAAAAATCAATCAAGAGATCCATTTTTAGGTCACCAGAGTTACCTATTGCTATCTGTTTTCGTCCATCGTCATGCACTGTTCGTCAATTGTAAACTTTTGAATATTTTCAGCTTCTTTTAAACCGATTTCAACCAAATTGGCATATAGCATCTATGGGTGAAAGGAAACAAAAAATCTGAATTTCATGGTCCCTGCAGTCGGGCCTGAGGGATGGGGGCTAAAACCACCAAAATTAGTGCTATCTTTAAAAATCTTCTTTACTCTTAGACATCAAGCATTCAAATAGGTGGCATGAATGTAATAAACATGGAACCCTTTACCAAAACTATGAAATTCATGGCCCCAGTCCCAGGGCTTTTGGAGTTAAGGTGAGTTTCTATTGATCATACAGTGATAAATTCTTCTAAAGAAACTTCTCTTCCCTTGTATATTTAGCAGTCAGACGAAGTGCATGGTAATAGGTAGGTGTCTCTTCCAAAATAGTGAAATTCATAGCTCCTGGGTCAGAAGTTCTGGTGTTAGGAAATGCATGATTTCTTTGAAAATCTTCTTTACCCCTGGGTATCTAACAGATGAATTAAGTGCATGGTGATAATAAACAAGGATTTTTCTTCCAAAATTAATGTCCCCTTGTTCAGGCCTTCTGGTGTTAGGGCGGGGCTCTATTGATTATATAATGGAAAGCATTTTTTTGAAAAAAATGTTGTTTTTTTTCTATCCCTTTGAATGTAGCAGTTAAATTAAATCTAAGGTTTAGTGAACAAGGATGCCTTTCAAAAGTTGTGAAATTCAGAGGGTCTGGGTAAGAGCTGGACTCTATTGATTGTATTGTGAAAATGCATTAATTCATTGAAAAAACTCTCTCTGCATATAGGAGGAAAACAGAGTACAATAATTATTAAAGTTGAAATGAGTAAGGGTTTTTACCAGATTTGAAAAATTCTGGACCACTGGGTTAAGCGTTCTGGTGCTGGACAGTGCTCTATAAATCTGTACATCACTGAGAGAAGTTCTTCCTCTTTGCTATTCATTTATGATAATTAATTTAATATGATGAACAAGTAATTGATAGGTTAGTTGAACAAAAGAATTATAGAGAAATTTTATATTACATAGTACAAAAGGTACTTTCATATTTTTTATGGTGATTTAGACTTGTACATAATGGATAAATACAAACTAGGTGAAAACACCGTGTCATTGTACATTAAGTTTTCTTCAAAGACCAAGAGGGTTTATATGGGAGGGAATGTGATGAGTTATCCATATGTGTTTAAGTATTTATGTGTTAATTGTTTAGCCTACATGGAGACAGTGACAAATAGCAGTTTTACTAGCACTGCCAAGTACAGGCAGGTAAATAGAACAATTTTACGATTTGTTACTGGGTACAAGATTAACCATTTTGTTGATCCCTGTTATTCATATTTATTTTTGTTTAGTTTTTTTGCTTGTTGATATAATATGATTTTATGGAATTCATTACCTCATCATTTTCAGAGTAAAGAAATAAAAAGTCGTACAACTCCCGGTTAGGGTTAAACTATACGATAAAACCAGAGACTTCAGAATGAGAAGCTCGGAAGTCTCTGGTTTTATATAACACTTTAAGCCTAACAGGAAGTTATTGTATTCCCATCTAAAGTCTTAAAATGTGGCGAGACAATTTTCGGGACATAAATGAGTTGTTTACAATAAATAGGCTAGACTAAGGACGTCTGGAATTAAATATTTGAAAAGAAAAAAAGTCTCTAGAGGCATGTCTTATTAAAGTAGGTAAATGATTATATAAATATTTATTGATCATTTTTTTAAAATTTTATTTTTTTAAATATATATATTTAGTGACTTATTTTTGATTTTTAGAAATAATGATGTGATGATAACATTTCAACTAATATGAAAAAAGTATGAAAGGTACTGATGCTTTTGAAATCTTCCCCCAATCAATCTACATGTATATTAATGAAAATGAGAAAACACAAATAATTGTTTTAATCAAAGGTGTGCTAACCACAGGTTCTTATTGCAAACAAGATCATTGTAAAGATAATAGAATTTGCGAAATGTTGACTGCAAACGACATTGCTAAAACTCTAATAACATCAACTTATTTGTCAGTAGCCTGCCTTGGTTTAGAAATTGTTCGTAGGCAAAACATCTACTGCGTATCGAATCAACATGGAGACATATTATAGACAACATATGCAGGTTATTATGGTATATAGCTACATTAATAAGACAAATTGAAAAAAAAGAAAAGTTGAAGTCATCACGTTTATTTAAAATTAAGTTTCTCTCATAAAATATCTAAATATGAAGCAGTTGTGTTTGACTCTATAACGCCTTTTATTTCAAGTTCAGTGGGATATATCCAATCAATGTATGAATGAAAATGATCATTGCACGAATAATAAAACGTCATTAATATACCGGTGTCTAAATGTAGAATTGAAGGCTCATCATAATATTTCGTCTTTACATGTAGAAGTTTTTGAAGAAATTCAGTCAATATTGCTTCATAAGAATACAAAAAACAGGCAGACTCTGTTAATAACCAACCATCCCATAAGAATTTCAATCTATTATTGGAAATAGTACATATACGCAGGTATTGTCATTGAAAAACTCAATCATCTTTTGAATATCAACTTCAGAGTACTTATGTGTAGATTAAGAATGGTGTTTAACAAAATAAATCTGCAGAGGACCAAGACAAGGGTAGTAAAAGTTGCGAGTTCCATGCCATTTAAAAGAGCATGGTTTTTTAATGGTTCCTTGAAGTTTTGAAGTATCTACAGCTGATTAACATCACTTATCGAGTACGTTGTTAAACATTACTGCCGATATTTCCCCTGCAGAGTTGTTAATATTTTCATAAGGAGTACGGATTGAGGCTTGGTAGAACATTTACTAGATCTTACTATGTATCTGTTTCTTTCATGGTATTTATAAAGTTATGGAATCCTGTACATGTAAATAGGTCTGGTTATCCAATTTGGTTGGTGAAAATATTGAAAAAATTAAAATTGAAATAATTATGATTTCAAAAAGGAACTATGGGTAAATGTTATATCACCACTTGTTATATTAAATCAATTTTTTTTATTAAATGTAATTATAAAAGTGAACTTTATAAACAAAGAAAATATTGTTACATGATTTGGCAACTGGGACAGGTACATACTGATTATGTATTCTTTATATAATTCTTCTTTTGAATCAATGAAGACAGAAAGATAGATGTTCGCATTTTGCCACTTAACCTTTAATTCGAAATTTCAACATCTCATACCTTTGTCCATTCTGACAAAGGGTCTTCCGGTAAGTCTTATTTTGTTTGTTTGTTTATTGTTCAACGTCCCTCTCGAGAATTTTTCACTCATATGGAAACGCCACCACTTGCCGGTGGAGAGCTGCAAATTTTGACCTATACTCGGCAC